TACACCAGCTGTAATGAAACCAAAAACTGTTTCTTACCTTATGCAAGGTCAAAATACTCAGGGATTTGACTCGGTTTGTTAAGAAAAGCTCTGTGAAATGGACTCCTGGTCTGAATATAGCTTATTTATCTTGCCTTGTGAACCCCATGAGTTTAGTAAAATTCTAAAGCTGTATATGACTCTTAACACACCAAGCTGGACGGAAGTGATGGATAGGGTTAAATTAAATATAAACAAGAAACCTTTTCCTTTTATTTTTTGTTTACAATGTATTTTGTAATTGAAGTGATTTTATTTATTTGTCCCCTTTAAAATTGTGTTAAACTTTTGTCTACTTCACAAAATCCCCATGAATAGCAAATAATAGCTTTGCTTGAAAAATCGTGAGTTGCAAGTTTTAGGACCTCAGTTGATCACCTATGATATAAGGTTCTTGTGATTTAGAATCTAAGAATTTAGATTTAATATCTTAGAATGATATGAATTTATTAAACCTTCAACCGTTTGGACAGTTTATATTTATGAAAAACAAATTGCGTGACAGTTTCTAATAAAAGCTAATTTAACTTTATGCAGGATCTGTCAGAGATTTTTATATTTGTAAAGTCCTGCAACCTGATGGGTTTTCAAACTGGGACTGACTATCCTGCATATTTTAGAACCAATCTGTGCTCAAGCACACTTGCATCAAATTATAGTACTCCCTTCTAAGCAGCCACCATGGGCTTGTGAATCAAGCATTTATTTAAGTCAGGTGTGTGGAGAGGGGGTAATGCCTAATGCATCCCGCATACAGCATGACAAGTTGGTATGCAAACATAGGCAAACATTTTGTTTGCACTCCTGTCTTGACATGTTAAGTAACGTTCTCTGGCATTTCGCATGCTGCATGAGTTCCCACACACCTTGTCCATAGCTCTTCTTTATTTATTTAAACACAACTCCACTCCTAGAGATGGTTTCCTGCAACTTTTTAGGCTATGCTGAAATGACCCAAATCTTTTTTTTTTTTTCCGCATATGTGACCTGTATCTGATCTTTTCATGATAGTCTGAAGAACACAGAACCATTATCCCCCCAAACCCCCCACCCCACCCAATGTGACCCAGGCCATTTGGCAATGTGATTCTGAATCCAAAACAAATCTGATCTTTTTAAATGCGATCTGTGTCCTAACGGCCCGGACGTATTTATGCGACCTGAACGTCATTAATACTGGACAGAGGTCACCATTTTTGGTCTTGCTATGCACAAGCGGGAAGAAAAACAACAACCATGGCGGAGGATAATGCGGACAGCGGTCTTCATTTTCAATCTGCTTGAATAGGTTTTGTTGTTGATGCACTGGCGGAGGTTTGGAAAGAAATAAAAGATTGCAAGATGCACTACTATCCATGTTTACTTACATAAACACAGAGCATGCTCGTTTCTGACATAATTTGCTCCACTTCTCTGGACACTTAAAGGACACTTTAAGTTTAGTGAATGCTGTTCACACAGCAGATCACATACAAGTTGCATTTAATTAGAAAATGTGAATGACCACACAAAAGAATCAGATGTCACAAACTGATTGGAATTTAGCATCAAAGCCTGC